AAAAAATTGGATGTGACCTTTACGTGACCTTGACAACGCTATTCAAGGTCATATTAATATCACTATCTGATGCATAACATAAAACCCTACAACTTTTGTATATAACATTTTTTCCAAAAATGCTTTGTTTTCGAAAAATTTGACTGGTCCGGGACTTTTTCCCCACCCTGTATACATAGGGCGAATCAGAATATGGTTGCACCAACCTTTTATCATAAAAGTTGAATTACCGACCGCAACTGTAGCCAACCCTGAAAAAAAGGGAAAATCTCGTTAAATATGCCTCAATTATGTAATATCTAATTGTATCTAAATACAATTAGATATTATACAGGGTGTCTCATTTTAAATGATCCATGCAAATATCGTTTTCACCACCTTATGTCCCCCTTCAAACCAAACAACTTTTGTTTGAAACGTTTTTCTGAATCTTTCGTATTTTTGGAGATATTTGCATGGATCATTTAAAATGGGACACCCTGTATGATTGAGACATATATAACAAGATTTTTCCATTTTTTCATTATGTTTAGATACAATTAGATATTACATGATTGAGACATATAACGAGATTTTTCATTTTTTCCCGGGTTGGCTACAGTTGTGATCGGTAATCCATCTCCTATGATAAAAAGTTGATGCAAGCATTCTAATCCATCCTGTATATGAAGTCACAACAAGAAAAAAGTTTTTTTACTTAAAGTTTCTTTGAATTTTGTCTTTACTAGGCTTTTATTTAGTTCAAAAAAATGATTTATTTTCTTTAACCAAAATTTTATTTGATTGAGTTGCAGATTGAGACTGGAATCTCTAAGAGATTTCATATCTATTTCTTCAAATCTAGCAAATGTTTTAGTAAAAGTAAATAAAAATTGAGTAGATTCAAAGAAACATAATTATAACGTATTTCATTTTTATTTAACTTGAATAAATCTTTTTTCTGGGTGCAGCGATATTGTAAGTCTTATACGTAATAAAATTTGTAATGTACAATTACATATTTGTTAAATGTAACTCTACATGCTTTCTTTACACTAATTAATTTATCCCATTATTAGTGTGTATAGATAACTATATAAGTATTGTTTTGAGTAAATAACAAATACTCTATATTTATTAGTTCAAGTTTTTTCATATTTTTATTTCCACTTTTTTATTTATTTATACGTATTTCCACTTTGTACCTTTTTTATTTTTCTAACGTAGCAATTTTTTTTAATACTGTGGATGATATATTTTAACGTTGATTTGCGTTTAACACGTAAATGACGCATATGAAGTTAAATCCCTTAATAATAATTTTGAAAATTTATCGATTAAAGGAGGAGGACCGATAAGCTACAATTTCGGCCTCTTCTGGATTTTATTGTAAATTATAAGAAACAATTTTTTTAAATATAGAAAATACTAAATTAAGTTGTTTCTAGCCTACAGGAGCATGTTCAACATGGTCGTTATCTTGTTTAACCATAGAAATTCGTATTTGTGGGTATTTGGTGCAGTACTACACAACTCGTCTGAAAACCATGGATATTATACTGAAAAATCATGAACATCATAATATAAAATTACTTTTCTATTATACTTAATATATTTAAATTTGTATGTTGTAACTAATCTTTGTTGTAACCTCTCAACGATTCATGTCAAATTTAATATCAATAATCCATAAAAGATAACAGAATCTCTCACAAAAAAACCTGATATCTCAGTCTTTACGGAAGATAGAACCACAAATTTAGGAATACATGCATGCATACATACATACATACCGACATTTGGCTTAAAATGTATTTAAATGACATTTTTGAACATTTAGAACACCTTGACATTAAAAAGTAGAAATGCGATTTTGGAACGAAAACAAGTTTCCTCTATGAGGAAGAAAAATAAATTTAATGATATAGTGATATAGATATTTGTATATAACATATAATATAAACAGTATATTATTACAAGAAAATCTGTAAAAACAAACAATAAAATAAACATTTTATTATTTATAAAATAATATTGAAATTGTAAGGTATCTTTATTAATATAAAAATAAAAAATTTAATAAACCCTGAGCTTGTATAATGTAAACATCTTTAATATAATTTTTGTTTTTATTTGTGATTTAATATCTGTATTAAATAGAGAAAGACAGTGAGCAACGTAGCAAAGGAGTGCGAGGAAGGCGAGGAAAGAAAGTAAAAGGAGTGGAAGGACGGAGGTGGAGGAAGCAGGAGTGGATGTGGAGAGGGAGAGGAAGAGCGAAGAGAAAGGGAGAGAAAGGTGATAGTGAAAGAGAGGAGAGAAAGAAAAGGAGAGGAGAAGAGGATGGAAGGAGAGTGGCTGGGAAGCGGGAAGGAGGTAGAAGAAGGAAGAAAGAAGAAGGCGGAAGCAGCAAAAGGAAGAAAGGGCGTAGTACGGAGGAGAGAAGGAGGAGAGAAGGAGGAGAGGAGGAGGAGAGAAAGAAAGATGAAGAAGAGAGGTAGAGGATAGAGAGGAGGAGAAGTGGAGAGGAAAAAGAGACTGGGGGGTGGAGTGGTAAAGGAGGGGAAGAAGGAGGATCAGAAGAGACAGGAACTGAGGAGGGAGGCGGAAAGGAAAAGAGTGTAAAAGAAGAGAGTGATAGAATGGAGAGAGACACGGAGGTGGAGCAGGGAGAGAAGGGAAGAAAATTGGGGGACGGGGCGGAGAGAAAAAGGGAGAAGAGAGAAGGTGCGGAGGAGAAGGGAAGGAGAGGAGAAGAAGGGGTGGGATGGAAGAAGGAGATGGAGAGGGGAGTGGTAAGAAGAGAGAGAGTAGTGAAGAGGCGGAAGAATCGGAGGAGAGAGAGAGAGGAGAGAAGGATGTAGGAGACAGAGGTCGAGGGCGGAGAGAGATAGAAGAAGGGGGATGGGGAGGAGAAGAGGGAAGAGAGTGGTGAGAGAGGGGCGGAGAGGGAGGAGAGGAGAGGAGGAAAGTGGGGGTGTAGGAGGAGAGGAGAGAACAAGAGGAGTGGGAGAAGCGGAAGGGAGAAGATTGAGGAAGGTGATGACAAGAGGAGATGGTTGAAGGGAGGAGAGATGAACAGGAGAGGAGGGGGAGGAAAAGATAGGGAGGATAGAAGGAGGAGAAGGATGATTTGGAGAGGGGTGGAGGGTAAGGATAGGGAGAAGAGAAGGTGGAGAGTAGGAAGAGCGGCAAAGGAAGTGTTAGGGAGGGTACCGTAGCTGGGGGAGATAGTGGAGAGTAATGATAGTCGAAATGATGAAAGAGAAGGATAAAGAAGTGATATTAGAAAAAATGGATTGGTTGAGAGAGAAGTAGGGGATGAGAGTAGACGAAAATCTAAGCATAGAGGAAAGGAGGATAAGGTGAAAAATGCTGGAGAGGGCAAGGGTAGAGAAGGATTTGTCTGGGGAAAGGAGGTAAGAGTGGAGAACAGAAGGATGTGGGTGGATTGGAGGGAATGGAGGTGGATGGGAGGAAAAAAGGAAGGGGAGAGGAGTGGAGAAAATTATAGAAGTATATGATTGCAGGGAGGAAAGGAGAAGACGAGAAGGAGAATAAGAGAGGGGAGAAGACGAGAGAGAGAGAGGAAAGGAATAAAGGAGTGAAAAAGGAGGGGAAGGAGAAGAAGAGCAGGGAAACAGGAGCAAAGAGAGAAGCAAAGGAGAGAAGGAGGACAGGAGAAAGGCGAGAAAGGAAGGGAGAAGAGAAGAGGAGGAGAGAAAGAGTAGACGGGGGGATGAGGGAGCGGAGAAGGATGAGGGCGTGTGGAAGGAGGGAATCGTGAATATATTGGTCGCTAAGGGCCAGGTTGCGTAAATAGGAGAGGAGATGGTTTGGATATGTAAAGGGTTCGGGCACGCTCCATATAAAAGTGCCACTTTTGCCCCGATGAGGGAAATAAAGTGATCTATTTATATCTACCTGTATTAAATAGTTCTTTAATAACTCTATTTTAATTTAATAATTTTTGGTTTTAAAGAAAAAATTTACTATTTAAGTCACAATTTATCAATATAAATATTTAACATATCAATATAAAAGATAACAGAATCCCTCCACAAAACAAACTTGATATCTCAGTCCTTACGGAAGATAGAGCCACCACAAATGTAGGGATACATACATGCATGCATACATACCGACATTTCGTTCAAAATGTATTTAAATAAACAATAATTCGTTTTCTTCATCGTTAGTTGGAAAGATATGGCGGGCCAAATCAGATAGAAAAGCTAACTTTCTTCAGATTTTTGAACGATTTTTCCATACAAAAAGTAGTGCTTTTCATCAGCATATAGAATTCACTTTTTTCCATTGTAGCCAAAAAAACACAAACTTATCCACTTTCGAATGCTATCAAAAATTTTCCATTTGACAGATTTACTTGACATTTTGTTTGTGTACCTAAATAAGATGGCAAATGCCAAAAATAAAATTAGACTTGCAATTTGAGCATATCTCTTGTCAATGTCAGATTTATCGATGTATTTTCTTTAAGTCAGCCAATTTATCACATAATTTTGTACGTAAAAGAAGTAAAGATAAAATCATAAGAGAGTATTTTGTGCGAAACGTTTTATGTTTTAGATTAAATTTTCGCGACATTAGACGTTTTGTGTCAAATGTTTGTTAAAAAAATGTATAACTCATGAAAATAGGTTTCAATAAAAGTATCAAATAATATATGATGATATGATATCTACCTTCTGTGCCTTCTTTTCTTTTCTCTTCACCGCACATTGGTACTCGGGCACAACACATTCCGGCCTCATGCCAACCGTCAGACACTTCTTCAGTCTGCACTCCTGGCACTTGCGACGCATATACATGTCGATCTCGCAGTTGTTACCATACTTGCACTGATACACAGCGTTCCTGGTAATGCTTCGTCTGAAGAAACCCTTGCAGCCCTCGCACGTAAGGGCGTTGTAGTGATAACCAGACGCACGGTCGCCACATACAAGGCACAATTCTTCTTGTTGTCGAGGCGTAGGTCCTTTTCTTTTCTTCCCGTCACATCCTTCACTACTACCGCTGCCTCCGCCTCCGTTGTTACCACCATTACTACCGCCACCCCCGCTGCCACCGCCACCACCGGAATTATTACCGTAGCCATTGATTGAACCCGGTTGAGATAGTTCGTCCCTTCCTGAAATTAAAATTTTATCACAGTTATAGGAATTTAGTTGCATTTAATTAAATGGACTGTAGGATTAAAATAGTTGTATAGAATTATAGAAAGGAAAATTTTTTATTAAATAATAAACATATTTTCAATTTGCTCCTGTACTTCATGTAGTCAGCAAATATTGACAATATTATAATTCTAGTATAATTAAAATAGCAGTAGTATAATAGTATTAGATACTCCTCCAGTATAGTTACTATAATATATATTATTATGTATGAGTTTACTTTTGATGCTACAAGTAACTTACAGATGTTGTGTGTGTGTGCGTGTACGTGTGCGTATGTCCGTGCATACCATATATGTCAGTTATTCGCTAATAAACATAATCACGTATGCTTTGATGTGATTATCCAAATATGAACCAAATTTAAAATTAAATTAATTTCAATTTTTATCGATGGATATGATAAAATGTATGTCAATGTTATAAATAAATAATAATAAATAATTTATTGTGTGAATAAAAAATAAAGGTATTTGTTCCTTAATATTAAGTATTAAATATAGTCCCTACGATTAAAACACAAATTTTCTCTACATGAAGTTATGAATTGTGCATTGCGATACAATTTATGTACAAAAATTACTTTTGTTCATGATAATGGAGAGATGATAATTCATTAGTAAATTCTGTTTTATACATTCGAAAATTTAATCCGTCAAAATTACTTTGTTTTCAATCCTGTATGAAATAATACAACTGAATTTTGAGAATAAATATTTTTATTATTTATTATGAATTATCTAACCATTTGTTCTATCAAACTTACCATTTTATGGAAAATATATAAGCAATCAGTATATTTCTAATTTAATCCAATTTCAGTTGATTTCTTTTGCTAAAAGATTACTTCAAGTATCAGTAAAATAAGTACTCGTTTCGTTAACATCAAATTTGTATATTCAAAATTTTTATTTATTTATCTACATTTACCATTTTATTTACAGAGTTGAAACTTCAATAATAATATTTCGGCTTTAATATATATTTGTTATTATAAATTAAAAATTTACTAAATACAAAATAGCACATGGTGAATGATATCTACATATACAGGGTGTTCCATTTTAACTTAAACAGTAAAATATCTCAATAACTAAGACCAGCAAACAAAAATGTTTCAGACAAAAGTTGTATGGTTTCAAGGGGGACATAAGATGGTGTCATTAATTTGACCTTGAATAGTTGCTTGAAGATCACATGAAGATCACCTTTAAATTTTTTAATGGAACCCCCCATTGTTTATTATGCTATCTTATTCTACTAATTAATATGAACAACTTTTGTCCGAAACATTTTTTTTATTTGCCTAATATTTTTTGAGATATTCAAGAGAAAATTTAAAACTTTTTCAGTGTTTAGCTTATGGTATCTCGATAACTGTTTGTCGGAGGGAAAAGTAGTACAGGACTTTTTGACTTGACTTGATCTCAGGAATATGCTGTTGCAATAATGCTCCAATTATTAAAAATTTTCAATTTCTTTTCATCTCTCCTCTCTTTGAAACCTCTTCTCCCTTTCATACCTCTCCTTCCCTCAACCTCTCAATCTCCTCTATTTTCCATCGTCTCCTTTCCAAATATTCCTTCCTTACTTCCTTCCATCTCCTCACTGCTTTCCCCTCCTTCGCTTTTTCCCTCCATTTCTCCTAGCACTCCTTCGCGGGCTGCCCCCTTCTCCCTTCCTCCAATTTCTTCTCGTATCTCAAGGCCCTCATGCCTGTCCTTCCTTTCAACATCTTCCTTCGTAGTTCTCTCCTCACCATATACCCTGGAGTATATCTCTCCACCCTCAACAGCCACCTCAAATATTATATCTATCCTGTAATTTTTCCACGCCCTCCCTTTCCTTCCAACCCCATAACTAATTGCCATCCAAATCAACCTATCGAATAGCCATATTCTTTTCCCCCAATCCCTCTCTTCTGAACCTTTTCTTTCCTATCCCCATACTTGCCCCAACAACACAGTCCCTGTTCTAACCCTCTTCCTTATGTAAGCTTCCTGTTTTCCATTTCCACTTACCTAATATCCCAGATCATGGGCGTATTCAGGAGAGGGCAAGGCATATCAAATATCGATATTTTTACAGTAAAAGAATTACGAAATAGTAAGAGTAAAATTGTCTTACTGTGGCGCCCATCCATTATAAAGATTAATTGTGGTACATACAACAACTATATTTCTTACAAAGGTTATTCTAGTTATGATAAATTAATTTTTATCCAACGTAGTGATTAATGTTTAGTCATAAAACATAAATGTTTCAAGATTAGAAAGTATATTACTTTGATGGAGAGACTATTTAATCTTGAAATAACCTTGAAAAATTAAGCGTTAAAATTTTAAATAGAAACTCCTACTTTTTATCGCATTCTCTTATAACTAACTTCAAGAGATTTTCATAATACGATGCTACCTTCTTTAATGAAGAATTTGTGTGTGTGTATGCGGGTATGTGGGTGTCGGGTGTGTACGTGTGCGCGTGTGTGTATGTGCGCGTGTACGCGTGCGTATATATAATTTCAATAATTTGTTACTTCTATTAGAACATTTTCAGAAAAATTATAATTTTATTATTTAAAATCATTGTCATTGAGAAGATATTTAAGTCCTTTGTCGCGCAGTGCATGTTATTTCTTAATACTTAGAACTACAATTTTTATTAATAAAGAAAAGACATGCTCGTTCAATGTGAATACAAATAAATAAACAAGAGGGCCAATAATGACGAGCTATACAAGGTGATGAACTAAAAAAATTGTATTTGAAAAATCATATAAAGCAGACGTAGTACAACTTTTATATTTTTTATAGTTTATTTTTTAATTTTGAAATATTAAAAAATTGGTAATTATGTAGGAATATATGATGTCAAATAATATCTATAGAATTGCAGATTCAGTGGATATTCAAATAGATTTAGCCTTTAGTAGTGACATCGTTACGCATCTGTATTGTACACATTTGTCTGTTTCGTTCGCCGAATGGCGCGCAAGCAAGTTAGAAGTCATGGTCGGTGAAAGTATGGGCGATATTACGTTCGGTGTGCATATATCCAATATACAAGTACATATATGTACACATTGATATACATATATGCGTAGTATGCGGGCGGATGTGAATTGGTTGATAAAAACTGGTCTAAGCCAATAATCGCCATGCTACTTTTTCAAGAAATCGATTTGTTTTTGATGTGCGCTTATTTTTATCTTTTGACACTATCTCACTGTTTCAATTATTTCTTTTTATTACAAAATAGATATACTCTTATGATGTCAGAAATATCACAAACAATTTATGGAAATGCTAAATTACAGATTCCAATATGTTTATGTATAGATTCACATAAAGTATTATATAACTGACATAATTATATGCCAAACAGGCTATATTAAAAAATTCAAGAAATAGTATAAGAAACATTATTTAGTAAAAATGACTATTTTGTAGATGATGGCAGCAAGCAGAGTTTACAACTTAATTTTTTATCAAGTAACGTGAAAAGATAAGCTTTGAGAGTCCAACAACGGTTTACAGCGCATAAATTAACGTTATATTAATTTTTAATAACTAGTAAAATAAATAATTATTTGTATATTGGATATTTTGGTTCTGTTTTGAGTCATTATCAACAATGTAATAACAAACCACAATAAAACCAAACAAGTTTTCATCTAGTTACTTTATATGAAAACATTAAAGTAAAATCATAAACAACCAATGGTTTACAAAACATTTTGTATTATATTTCTGATTTATTTTCAAACAAAATGTAAAATATCTAAGATATTAATTGTTTAACTTTTGTTTTAATGTTTTTGTGAAAAAGGTAATAAGATACATTAATTGATACAAGAACATAATTCATATGTGTAATTACATTTCTTTTTATTGCACAATTACGTGTTTCTATATATTTCAATTTATCTTATTACTTTGCGTGTAAAACTATTAAAGTAAGATAAAATATAAAAATGGATAATAAAATAAGATATAAAATTACAAATTTAATAAAAAATATTTTACGAGATATTTAACATTTTATATCAAAATAAAATATAAAATATCTTTTGTAATGATTATTATTATTTGTAACTTTGTCATAATATTATCAGAATAAAGATTCAATTTATAAAAAAATAATTCTATTTAAAGATAAAATTAATCTTGAAATTTTCTTGTACCTTAATTATAAAATAATTGTTTTCATTTAGATTTTTGCACTGATCACCTTTTGCATGAACAATTTTTTATATATCTCCAAATTTTATACATGATTACATTGATTACTTTTTAGAAAACATGTGTATGATATCTCAGCATACAAATAGATTTATGTAGTATTGCGGGTTGATTATTCTTGTTCAGATTTTCTTACAATATTTTCTATTTAATATAATATTTTTAAAATTTTTCACAATTCTGATAGTCTACACATTATTTTTATTTTATATATTAAATATTATTTTTGATGTTTTTGTTTAAATTTATTATGATTATTAAATAATTAAATAATTTATTTTTCATGTAATTTAGCATTTTGATAATTTAACGATAAATTTATTGACACAAAAGGTATATAGAAACTGAAGACAGGCAAATAGAACAAATATTAATCGTTCTATTATAAAATTACTACGTACTACAAATTATAAAATTTACAAGTCTTTCGTTACCTACATTCTTTATTCATGATATTGTTTCATACATATAGAAAATATACATTTACATAATACTATTTTTGAAGGATACGTTAATTTGTCACTTTTTCAATTCGTGTTAATTTCTTTCTGAAATAAATTTGAATCAATATTTTTATTATCAATATATATTAAATCAATATATACATATATATACATATATATATATATTTGTGTGTATGTCTATATGTATATGTGTACATATACATTTACTATATAGTAAAATTTTCAGAATCACACAAGAATAATTCCTTG